ATCTCCCAATACATCATATTGATCATTATCCTGCTAATTCCCTTGTATCACTTAACCTTTAACGTAAACGATAAATAGATTATGTTTTTGAGAGTTACTTGGAAAATATAATTATTTACTTGGCTACTGTATTATATCAATCTGTGATGTAAAATTACAGATTGAATAATCTTTACATATTTCTTACTTTAGTATCAATCTTATACTCTCCACTGATTCAGTGTTATAATTCTCAAAGTTCAACGTATCGGTTTTACATATATTCTAAATCCGATTAGTCGATAAAAGCTTTCTACTTTTGATTTTTTTCACTAAAATATTTTTCGAAATTCTACATTTTCCCCGTCTTTATATCGTGTCAAACAAAGTGAAGCACTAGTAAGGAGTTCCCTATTCAAGGTTGCCACGTGTCTCTTGTGTGTTATTACAAGCTATATATTAATAACCGTGTTTCAATGATCAGTTTGCTTCAGTTTATCAGTAGTATGTAGCATTTGCTATAAGAATTGTTTTCTTAAATCGTGCCAATTTCTCCGATATATCAAAAATTGAACAGAACTCTATTGAAATCTAATGAATTTTATTTACAAACACACACACACAAATACACATTTTAGTAACGGTACCTAGGCTATTCAATATCGTTACTATGACGACGAACACCAAACTATGGTTTTGTTGGTTGACTGTGTTAAGATAACTAGCAACTGAGTGGACAATGTTTATGTTTAATTCGTATGATACCTTCATTAGCTTGTTATGAATACGAATACTATTATAGTTATTGATTATTTGAATGGTGAACGACTTTAGAGTGAGCGTAAAATTACATTTTGGTTTTTTACTTTATGTGTTCTGTTTTCCATTGTCGCATATGAGTAAAAAAAACTTCGATTTGCTATAGACAAAAAATATTTATCAGTATCAGGTTGTGGAGATTGTTGAATTTTAATTGAGATCATGAACCGACCGATGTTAGACCAAAATTGAAAACCTGGAAGCACTGGACAGCCATTTCGTCCTAATGTGGGACTCCTCAGCAGTCCAGTGCTCTCAGGTTTTCAGTGGTCGTCCAACATTGATCGGTTCATGATCTCAACTAAAAAACGTTTTCTTAACTCTTATATAGCTGTAAATGTTCTGTAATAGTTTTTTATATTTTTATAGAATTTATGTTTTTTGAATAGAAAATTTGGTAGAACCAAGCAATAGTGACGACCTTGAGCGGTTTTAGGTGAGACCTTGGGATTAGCCAATCGAATATAAGCCAGCCAGTATGTAGTTCAATGTTCTATAGCTGATCTATCTGATATCACCAACCAACTTAACCAAAATGGGAAATTTCGTCAAAAGCATGATATCCTGCAATTCCTTTTTAAAATTCGTGCATATATTCAACGATCGCTATTTCTACTATGAATGGCCAATTCCATTTATTTGAAAGCCGTTGGTATAGTTTAGTTCTACGGAAAACGCTACATCAACTCGGATAACATTTTCATTTGAAAAGATAAAACGCTTACGGTGATATGTGTAGGTGTAGGTTCTGTGTTTGATCCCCTATCGGGTCGTAGATGTGGACCATTCAGAATCGTTCACAATGACACAGATTCATTCACACTTTATCCTCTTCTCGATCGCGAATCCCTTCGTCTATACCTTTCCCACTTTGTAGTTTCGAACTATATTTCCAATATTCAATATTTCTGATTATAATTGCTATTGCATTATTTCTGTCTGTTTTACAATTTATCTTGTCATGTTAATAGGGTTTGTCATCTTTGCCAAGGCCTGCATTGACCACGAATGATGAATGGCTAACGTCTAAGGAGTTCCATATGAGGATGAAACAGTTATCCAGTGTTTCTAATTTTCAGTGGTTGTCTAACTACAACCAGTTGCTGATGTAACTAAGCTGTAGAATTCAACAATCTCTATAAACCCCTTTTATACTAACATTTTATTTGAAACAAGTTAAAATAAGCTAATAGTTTTTCATAGGTATCAATGCCAAGATTGGACTTAGTAATTTCAAATAAATCGAACATTGGGTAGAAAGTGAAATTGCAATGAGTAGAAAATTGTATTTCTGACGTTTCGTCACGTAACGTAACTCACTTCTTCAGAGCAAATAAATAACCGAAATAAAATTAACACAAGTTTAAATGGTACAAAGGAAACAATGAAGAATATTTTTAGTACAGTTAGAGTTATAATAGGTCTGAACATGTGAATGTCAAGTTATTTTTAGTCAAGGTGATTTTGTATCACCTATCACTGCATTAATTTGTGCGTCATAAGTGGAAATGTATGGGTAAAAGATGTATGCATTTGTAATATGAAGTAGAGTGAGATTGAAATTGAGTATATATATATATATATATATATATATATATCCAGATTGTGTGGAAAATGAATGGGGTGAAATGTGGTTAATTGGATAAACAGTTCAGATTGGATGGATGGTTAGGTGTTCATTCGTATTGAGGGAAGAGGGATTTAGCATCAGATTACTGTCCTGCCTTCATAGTTGGGAGAACATTTCTGAAATATTTTTAATATGAATTTGGTGATTGTTGAAACTAGCATGTACTACTGTTGGTGATTTAACTTGTGGATGTCTCAATTTTACAGGATTATTAGGAGATGATTTTGTATAATTTAGTTTTTGTTCTGGTCGGATCGATATCTCACGTTAAGGCTCTCTAATTTAGAACACATCAAAATCGACATAATTTGTCTGTGAACACAATTTTTGTGTAGAAGAATAACTTGACATTGACATATTCAGACCTATTATGATTTTAAATGTACAAAAAATATTTTGCACTGTTTCTTTTGTTACTATTTGTAATTGTGCTAATTTGATTCGGTTATTTATTTACTCTGAAGAAGTTGCTTACATTAAGTCACGAATTAGTTGTTTTGTTGTTGCTGATTGTCTATAATCAATCGACGTAAAGATAATTTGGAAGTTTATCTAAAATTAATCAATAATGCTTTATTTAGTAATGAATTCATTCAATAGTCTTATTAACTGATTTTAGAATAATTGACATTAATTGAGTTTAAGTGAATGAATTTCACTTTCTAACATTAGCAACATATAGAGAAAGTAGTTTAAAATGAAGTACGTGTTAGGGATGCTGAGGAATATACCAATCATTATCATGTTCAGTCTAATGATGACCTTGGATTCTAAATGGGCATCCCCCATTGGCCATTATTTATTTCACTCGTTAAATATTGTACAGATGTTGTTTTCTATTTTTATGATACGATGTGGTCTGTTTGGTTGGTATATAAACAGAGTATGTTTGAAATATAACGATTCATAACTCAGAGGCTGTGACTTGCGTTCTAGACTCAACTGGCTGGGCTAGACAGGGAAGCGGGACCAATCGGGACTCTAGGTCGTCCTTACGTGTTTTACGTGTCATTGAGTCGATCGATAAATACGCTGCGCATCTAACCGTGCGATCCGCCCGTTACACCAGTATATTGTTTAGTGAATTGACGGTTGACATTTCGATTGGATTATGAAAGGAATTTTTAGAAATAACTGGAAACTTTGTAGAAATAAGTCACAATCACTAAGATTTATTTAATCCGTGAGAATTACTTGTCATGTATGTGATTAAGAAAAAGATTCCAAAATTTTAATCAATCGCATTTATTAAAGGTCTTTGAGCTTAAATTCTGTTTGTTTGCTTAGAATAGTTCAGTTGTTTTTGTATCAAAATATACATGATATAGTTGTATCAATCAATCAATCATGAACAATGTTATCAAGTGTAATTATAATGTTCATCAGTTCAAGTGATCATAACTGATATTAACTCAATGATGGGAAATTGACAAGATTAGATAGCAAATGAGGCAAAAATACTCATAATATCAGTAATTGTAAAAGAATGAATAAATTCGTGGGATAAAAATCACTAATCAATATTGCAGTTCATAATCTCAGGGAGTATAGATGATAAGTCTACGAAATGAACGCTCGATCTGATTTCCTTTCCTCTCCTAACAACTGACTAAATCTACTCGGCAACTTAAACATAAGAAAAAAAGCACCAAATATGAGAAGAACGCTTTACCCTAATGTTAATGTATGCACAGAAAACTTTGGTATTTGTAGAGTTACACACGATCTTGGGTTTCTGGAACCATGCTAAATACTGTAGCGGTATAGTTGAATATCCGGTCAGAAATATGAGATATAACTTCAGTTTCTAGATGTTTCTGAGGTGCTTTTTTTCGACGCTGGTTGAGTAAAGTGTTTCCAAGCGTTTTTTGGGCCTCTATGGATTTTTCCGAGAGATACGTTTGGACACTACAACAAAAGGTAGAGATTAAATGCAACTGTACACGATTGTGACCGATTTTAAACAATGTTAAAGTTAAGTGAACTAATTGTTAATTTTTTTTCAAAACTGATATTAGATACAGACCACGGGATTAAGAGCCGATTGATAACCGGTTCCTGATGTAAGCTATAACATTCAACAGTATTCACAATCCCTCTATACTGATAGATCCATTTAATCAATTTCTGGATAGAAAGTTACCCAATCACCATTATAGTCTAAGGTCAAAAGTATAAACACAGTCAACAAAAATACAAAAACATATATGGAGATAATAAATTCAGCCAAAACAACTAGTCACAAACATGATTTACAACAAATAAACTAATTTCTACCCAAAATAGGCGTTGATATTGCTGTTGTCGTCTAGAATAGCAGTGAAAACTTCACAACTCTGTCTAAATGTATTGAACTGAGCCTACATATCACCACTTCTAGCTTATAGGTTTTTTGCTGTGCTAACCGATGAGTTGTTACTAACCATCGGTAAGTTACTATTCGTTTTTTCCTAATCAACTATTATCCATCTTAACAAAATGTTTACCCGCCTCCATCTTGGATAATAAACCCGCCTTTCTATTGATTTAGTTATATGTTTTGTTGTTATTTCGCTTTTTTTTTCCATTATAGCCCTTGAACAAACATTGAAACATAGCATACCTGGTTGTTTAATATTAATGGATTTATTTTTAAACAGTATCCCATTATATATATGTCATACATTCTATCCTGTAATTGTACATCTAATCTATTTGGCTGTTACAACATTAAGCCTATATTTAGCGTATACAATTGGTAATCTGGATAAAACTACACCGTTTCCTTCAAATCCAACTGTATTCATTGGTGGACATGCATTGTTACCAAATGGTTATCAAGATTTTTCAAATATACCACGTATATTTATCGTTTTGTTAGGAGCTATCTTTATTGGTATTATGATACATTGTGTTCTATTAACATTAGTCATCACTCGAGATTTTCTTGCAAGTTTATGTCAACAAAGTACTACTGTATGGTATGATTCTAATGATGATGTAGCATATTTAATGGATAACAGTACAACTACACTAGATCTGTTAAGTCGACAGTCATCATCATCAACTGGTGTACACAATTTAAATGAAAAACTAAAATGATATCATCAATGGGAAATAGAAATTTCATGGAAATTAACTGAAGTTTGTATATTAATCAACAAGGTTTACACTGCTATTCAATGCTCCTTTATTATTGCTGCTACTTATCTATGTTAGTGAATTGATAATTTTAACCTGATTAAACCTATCCATAATACATATCATTCATGGCAAGACTATAATTTATGGACAAACCAATCAGATATAAGATAAAATGTCTTGGATTTTGTCACGAAATTCATTCATCCATTTGGTTAAAGAGCGTTTTTGACATTTTAGCTGATGTCAGTTCATGATGAAAATCATAAATCTAATTCCTAACCCTTAATCATCAACAGTAAATCTTAATTCTAGTTCCTCACCATAGTTTATAACCCTCATTTGGTCCTAGTTAGTATATGGACTTTCTCAAGATCACTTTAGTGTCGCTCAAAGGTTGTCCATAAATTGTATTCTCACCTGTAAATCAATTTAATTAAAATATTTTAATGAATCTTCTTTTCAAGTACATTTTATCATTTGTATTAGGGTTTTTATTTATTTATTTATTGTAAAACAATAAAACAGGATCAAACCTCCAATATGAATTCATTTTATTATCCTTTCGTTATCTTTCTTATATTTTATTGATTTGTTTTTAAAATTAACAACTGTTTGAACATTGAACCAAATATTTATCAATGTGATATTCCCTCATATATCGGATCCATTCATTCATCTCTAGTTGATAAGATTTTCTGATTACAATGAAACATAAACTGACACTGATGTACAGTTATTTGCTAGAAAATAGTATGATATGGTAAACATGATTGATGATATTTTATGTTGATTTACTCTTTTCAGTAAACAATGATACGTGTATCAATGAATTATTTCGCCACATTTGTATATATATATGTCTGTTGATTCGTGTAGTATTCCTGTTTTACAGTTCTTGCTATTACATATATGACTATTTATGTTATGAATTGAAATTGAATCGAGTATAGTTTAGTATTGCAGTTGTATAAATTTATAGAATTCATGATTATTGTAATACATAGTTCATTACAGTGATAAATGATATGCAAAATTTTACTTTAGTACTGGTTTGCATCAATGCCTGAACTAATGATTGGAAGTGCAGTAGTTAAACATGTAGACCACTTCAGCTGTCTTGGAAATCTCAACAGCCCAGATGGGTTGGTGTCTGACGAGATTTCAACACAAATTCAAAAAGTCCCGTTGTCTTTTACCAAATTACATCATTTGTGGCGTAGGTAAGCTATTCGTCTACCAACTAAAGGATGAGTGCACTATACAGCAGATGTTTTTTGTGGCTGCTAAGCCTGACCTCTTAAAATAGGGGATATTCGTAGTTCACTAAGAATCGGTCATAGATGTCTTTAGAGCATCGCTCGCATATTTTAAGGCCATCGAGTTAGCGATTTTGTGGTTAAACACAGTATACCAGGTAAAGACGGTTGATCGGCTGACGAGGATGTGAATTTTTATCGACTGAGACGGTCAGGACATATAATACGTATGCGCGGGCTCTATCAATCAGGCCACTAGCCTGAGTTACGAGACACTGTGTTCTATGTTGAGATGTTAGATGGTTAAAGGTTAATCAGCAGAGAATCGCTGACTTAAACATCGTAATAGCTGATGCTAGTCGTGAAGTTATACCTGGAAACTTGAGGGGACTGAACTATTTAGACTCCGACCAACTTCAACTGTAAATATACCAGCACTAAACAACGATAAACATAACAATAGTCACTACTCACTGATCAGTCAGATACATATGAAATGAGTTGAGTTTATTTCATCTCATTAAATTATAAGATTATTGAAAAGTTGAATTTCATTTCAAATAACTATTTCCTAAAGTTGGTAATATCTCTCACAAGGACAAATTCAATACATGTTTTGTATAAAATAAAATAGAGTTCTACTTTCCGAAATGCACACGTTTTCTTTCCTTTCAATCAATATGAATCACTACAAATTCAAAACAGAAAAATATTTATATTCTAACCTTTTTTGAAAAAAAATTGTATATTTCAATAGTTAAAATCATCATTCAGTTGAAGCTAGACCACCATGGAAAACCTGGAAGCACTGAACGTCCGTTTCGTCCTAATGTGGGACTCCTCAGTAGTGCACATCCTCGATCCGCCCCTCGCCGCGAGATTCGAGTGAGTAACCGTTGCCAGTGGAGTTGAACCAGGTCTATTGTGAGATATCAGCTCACTGAAGGCAATGGTGTACGGTGGCGTAATTTCGTGGATTAGTTGAAGTTAAACATTAGTACCGTCGGATACCGGCTCAGTGGTCTAGTGGTTAAGCGCTCACGCTCGAAATTGATAGGTCCTGGGTTCGAATCTCGCGAGGCGAGATTGTGGATGCGCACTTCTGAGCAATCTCACAGTAGGACGAAACGGACATCCATAATTTATTTATTTATTTATTTGAACACATAAATATTGGAACAAGAGAGCGCTTATATATATGCGCCACACAAAGCAATGAGAAATCGAAAAAAAGGTAAGGAGCGCAAGAAAAAAAAGAGAATAACGAAGAGATTGGTGTAAGGTAGTGTGGTAGTAACGAGGGAACGGAAAGGTACAATCGGAAGCAAACCTTTCAGTTAAGGAAGACACAACCGCTTTTTATGAAGAAAGTAAAAGAAGGTTACAGCAGGATCGCCACTGGCTTCTATTCTCAGCCATATCTGATAACGTCTCTAGCCACTGTGTTGCACCATCTCTCGGAGCCCAACCGGGGAGCCGTGAAGGACCGATAGTAGCCAGTCCTTTGCAGCTTTCTTTCATACCACGACACCATGTCATGTTATGGAAACTACTTTACTTGCTTCAACTAACAATCAAACGGACCTCCAGTGCTTCCAGGTTTCCCCTGGTGATCTAGCTTCAATTAACTCATAATTTCAACTATTGAAATTACTAAAATCTTCACAAAATCCCTTCTTATTGTATATTTGTTTAGATTATATAGATAATGCAAAAAGAATACTCGTTTAAATTATTTTAATTATTAATGTGCTACACTTGTGAATTGATCACGTTTTTATGTAATAAATTCTAAAGTACAAATTGTTTAGGTCCCAAATGTATTTTCTTTTCATATTACACTGATTTTTATTTGTAACTATGACTAATGTAAAACAAGTTGGAGTAGACAATAAAATTATTTTATAAATATTATTAGTAGGGATTTGTATCGTTCAGCTGACGATACTCCGAACTTGTTTTTTCGATAAGTCTTAATTGAAATGACGTATACTGATGTGTGGGCGAGAATGATAATGATTGGTTGTCTGCTTAGTCAGACATGTAAGTAGTCTGACAAATGTCAGATGAGTCATATATTCCTCTATTCTTATCATCATTGATTGTTCATTGTTGTTGGATTGTGTCGGATTTTGGTGTGGGAATATATTTACGTTGTGGTCAGGCTAATCACGTGTTCTTGATCTGAGTTATGTTGAAGTCCTGTAGAACAAACACTGGGAAGGGAATCTAGTGTAGATATTTGTTTAAGGTAAATTAACGTCCCATACTTGTAAACGTGGAAAACCAAGCGTTATAATATATACATAGTTCCCTTTACTATCTTAAATAGAGCAAGAACGAAGATTGATGCAGAATAATATAAATTCATTCTGCAATAATCTTCGTTCTTGTTCTCTTTAATTGAAATATTTGAGTGGATAAACCATTTTTGAACAAATTAGCCGCTCATTGGTACTAGGTTCAAATTTCAGTGTGGAAATCAATAATCAATTTTGGGTACATCAAATTAATAAGTCTCAGACAAGACAAAACACACGTTCTACATTCCATTGATAAATAAATGGAAATAAAGTATGATTAAAATATATTTAACCATTCGGTAAACTTTAAAAATCAACGCAGTTGTCGATGTTCTTAAATTCCGATTCATCATGATGACTAATACAGACAGAAATTCAATAATGTTTGCATGAGAATTTTGCTGAATCATTCGATAAGTGTTCTTCGTATTGTTTTAATGTTATTTCCAAATGGTTAGCAGTTTCAAAAAATCTTCCAAAGATTCTAGCGTTTTTTAGCGAGTTCATTTCTTACGTAACGGAGTCGCTAACCCCATGTCCAACCCTCCTCCTTTATCGGGGCTTGGGACTGGCAGTAGCCCCAGAGGGGCTCTAGGCGGAGTTTTCAAAGATTCTAGGAAAGTAATTAATCATTTTGAGATTGAACATATTAGATCTCTTCTATATTATCATCATCATACAATTAATAGCACATAGGAACGTTTTGTTGATCCTCGGAAAGGGAAGAAGTAATTAATGAACAAGATACGAAGTATTCTAAAACTTTTATCTAGATTATCGGACAATACTGAGTTTATTATCTATGGGAAACATACTGATTGAAAAAATTCCCTTGATCTCTCACAATTTGCTGTCAGAATCCTGTGAAGAAATAATAAGGAAAATCTGATATTTTCTTGATTATAGGTTGTTGAGTTTATGTGTTTCACATTCCAGTCGAAATAATTTTAGGCAAGTCAATAAATGAAGCACTAATTCGACAAAAATCTGTTTTTTTTAATCGGCCTACAGAGACCTTGTAAAGTATTACGCTGGGGACAGAATTTAAGTAAATCCTCTGAAGGAGGTATACCTCCTACATCTACACCTACATTCGCTCGTATAAAAAGTCAAGAGTTAAGCATATGACTCACCAATCATTATTATTTAGTGCTAGCATACCATACTTACGACATTTATAAATTGGATTATTAGGCTAATTCACTCAATTAATCAATGTTGAATACTAAGTTGTTAAGAGCTAACCATGTCTGATCAAATATCAATACAAAATAGATTCATACGGGTAGAGTTTTATTCATACCAAATGTCAATTTTCAAGTGTTTAAATTAATCTATATTCAACTGTCTTTTCACTTTTGTGAAGCTATATATTAACAGTGTGCGATTTTTGAATGGTCAGGCGAAACTCAGTTACACAATTAATTCATTGCAATTAAACCAACTACTGTTTTATAATTATTAGTAGTTTTTATTCTATATAAGAACCACATTTTCTTATTAAATGTAATACGACCATTCACTTTGCAACTGATATTCTTAGTATACATTTACAATGGATCGATAACTGAATGGTGACTTATATAATGTTTTTCTAATCCTTTGAATATTGATTGAATTCTGTTTGTTAAGTTACAATGGGTCGGATATCAAGTCATATGACTACTGACCAGAATCATGTGACAAAACCACCAATCAGAAACCAGTGATATGACTTACTATCTTTGAGTTGAGCAATTACATGTCCAACTAGCACTACTAACCTCGATCTGATTGCTAAATCCTTATTAGTTTACGATACTGTAGCTTCTCTCAGTGCCCTGCCTTTTAGTCCAGATGTCAGAACTCTCCTCAATTATATTTATTCCAGGTAGACAGTTTACATACAGACATACCAGACCACAACGCACCATAAAGTGAAAAGTGGCTATCATTCATGGTCAAGACAAAGTGTGTCTGTGAATGAGAGAGACTGCATATTAGATGGCAACAGATAAAATATAGTCACTATGCAACAATGTTATGACTAATAATAATTCGAGAAAAACCAGTCCTAACTCGTACAATATCTGTTCCGTTATAGTACATGCTAATCTAAGTGACCAGTCAATTGCAAACACCTCCATCTTGCACGTGGTCAGTCGCAGCCCCAGTAACTCAGACCATGTAGCTTGGCGATGCTGGTTTGGATTCACCAAGGAGCACTGGTTACTTCAGAATTTCAAGTATACTATTTCGACGAGTGAGAACTAGCATAAAATCTGGGTCCAAGATTTCCTGCTAGCTGCTTCCAGTCACCTAAATTCTTAGTATG